ATTCCAAATGCAATGACGAATAGGCACGAAGTCACGGGCTCAGGTAGTGCACTCACATATTGCGAAGGGTAAGAATATAATGTGTTACTACTATAATTCAACCCAACATATCCTAAGAGGTAATTGTGGAAATAAACCGCGAATACACTAGCACAAGAGAAGGAAAACTCAACTTAGAACCACACATTGCGTGTGTAAAGGTCTTCTTGTATTAAAGTAATCGTTGGCCAAGTTGTGATGAACTAATGCCTATGATTTATATCAATTATTTTAGAGAGTATTCAGTATTAGAAAAAAATAAATAAACGAATTATAACATTAGAAAAAAATATTTTTCCTGTGAGAAATATACTTGAGTTTCACGTTAAGTCTAATAACTGTATTGTTTTCCTCGTTATCCGGCTGTTTTGGCGTATTATTGTCGGCTATATTTTGCTTTAAGCTTAGATGTTCGTTCGAGCGTGTTTTATTTAATTAGTAGGTCCGTTAGACCTTGTACCTATGGAATATTGTTCAGGGAAGCGTATACTCAAATAACCCACAGCTTGAGAGCACGCCCAAATGACGACGCTGATCGGTAATGTTTTCTTTCGGCAGTTAGATTTCTATATAAAGATTTTTGGGGACTACTACTATTATCTGAAGTACGGCTATAATAGTAATGTATAATATGTAATGGCAAGTGGAGAGCTTCATTACTGTTTCAAACTAGTTATTTGGTTTCGAAGTGATTAACATAACATTCTACAAAGTATGTCAATGGTTATATTAATAACCGTGTCTTAATATGAATAATTTTATGGTAAATAAAGGTATTTACCTCTCTCAGCGTGAGCTCGTGATCATGGCTAAGTGCAACCTAGTTGAAACGTCGCCGAGAGGTAAATACTATATTAACCTTTATTTACCATAAAAATATTCCTGTTATGACCCAATTAACAATATAAATAATAAATCTGTGGTAATACTTTGTGTTTAAACATACTTTATCTATCTATCTATTATCTATGTGGTCCGACATTTTAAAGACAAAGGAAAAGATAATTAGTTCGTGGGTGGTGAATAATATAGCTAATTATTTATTTTAAATATATATAAATGATGCCTATTGATCGTTCTATTGTTTGGTTAGCAGCATAAATGTGTCTCTTGGTGTTTCCAACCATTGAATGACTGACTAATTGAACTTTTTTCTGGCAAAAAGGAATCTCATAGACACACATTCTTACTTGGATTTTTTTCTTCACGCATACTTTTTTGATTATTCTATAATACTTTAAAATGCACTATATATCTATCTATAAAGATAATTGTTACTGCTTCAGACCACATTGTTCAATTTAACGAGTAATTCGTTGGAGCAATCTAATAAATTGATTTGAACTTTGTCATTGTTAATACCTAATATCTATCTATGTAACATTGTGTGGCTTCAATAGAGAGGACAGTTGCAATTGCATTGGCAATTTAGACTGGATTGTTATATATAGACTTGAAGTTGGTCTATGCTGATATATCTAGTATATATACTTACATATTAGGTGTTTATATCTATATACCTGTCTTAAAATACAGATAATTCTTCTATGTCTTTTACATTAAGTCAATTAACTCCCAAACGGTTGGACCGATTTTGCGGGCACGACGACTTTTGAATTTTCTAGTACTTTTAATGTTGCAAAAATTCCAAAAGCATTTTAGAAAAATGTATGTGACTTGTACATCTACCTCAAAAGATTTTTATATCATCTTACAGTAAGTAATATGTAGGTATTGTTTTATATAAATGTGTAAATTGCAAGTAAGTATGTATCTGAAATTCGTACAACAACATATTTTTTATGATTTCTTTATGGTTCGAACCCTAAAATACTACTTAGCCATATAGACAGGTAGGCAATAGGTGTACAATAAGAACGATTTTCGAGTAAACTGTCTTACCATCACAGATTTCTTATCATCTAAAGTTTCCATCTAAACGGTAAGTACGTACTTAAGTGACTAACTACCACATTAATCTGAGATATCAAGGTATAATCACATCGTTGTGCGTTATATTTTTAATTCCCTTGATACGCTATCTCATGAAGTTATAATAATAGTAATGAAATTATGTACCTTCATGTCTGTTACCCTAGACAGAATAGTCAGAGGCATTGTGGATTGTGTGATAAACTGTGATGAACAAGTAAAAAAATTAGAGACTACGACCGAGTCGACGACGACGACTTATATATCTATAAATACTATAAAGCAGAAAAATATGTAGGAAATTCCGAATCTATACATAGAACTTATCAAACCGAGCTGATTCCATTAAAAGATTTTCTATTAAAGCCTCTGGTCGTGACAAGGTAATAATGTGTGTTTTAAACTACATTGAATATGTATTATTATTTTGTTACACAAAATTATTTAATCCTTAAGTAGATGAAAATGCCATCATAAATTATTAAAATCAAGGCAACCTAGGTGGTCTGGCGGTTTACCACAAGACTTTATGTCCTATGGCTACGGGTCTTAAGTATTGTATGTATAATTGTTTGTATTGGTTTGTTTCATATGCATATTTAGTGTATATTTACATATTAAATTACTTCTATCAGCGGTCTGGTACCCATGATAAAAAATCTGGACCAGCTGGCTGTATATTAATTATCCTTGGTCGTTATTGTTATGTAACCGTCATCATCACCATAACAGTCCATCCCTAGACTTGGACAAATCTCTGTCCGTTGTAAGGATTTAACTTATAGTATTAACATAAAGGCCAAACTTTAAGTACTTATATTTTGTAAGTATTTGTTAATATTTATATAACTTGAAACTAAGATATACATATACGTATAAAAAATTTCTCGTTTCGCGGTTTGTTACCAAACTCCTCTGAAACGGCTTTACTGATTTTTCGGGTAGGTTTCAGAATAGGAAACAACTATTTTTCATTTCCTTCAATGATAAGGTTGACCCATCCCTAAAAATTTTTATTTATATATTTCCAATTCTTTTTATATTATTTTTTTCAAAATTATTAATCATTATAAATACAAACATAGGGTATGTTTTCACCCGTCCACCATCAACGCCTATTTTTTAATATGGATTTTAATTTATATGATAATACAACGTTTGGCAGGCCAGTATTCACAAATATATACTTACCTAATAAGAATATGCTCATTGTAGAAATGCAGGGTCTGTCTCTCTTTCCCCTTCATTATCTGGTAGTCAAAGTTTGCGATACAGACATAGTTTCATATTATGCATTTAAACTTAAGTACTTAGTGGTAGTTACGTACTAATTGATGAGATTATATAGAATGAGAAGTGGAGTGTCAATTCCACTAGAATACATAGTTAAGTCAATGAATATTTACCTAATCAGTTTAAAATTTTAAACTAATTAGTGAGCATCTTGTTTATATAAGAATTTCTGTATAACTAGTATTAGCAGTAATAAAATATTTAGCTATGGGCACATAACAATTAGCGTAATGTGTGTATAAATTAGCCGTGACTTCATACACGACATAAAAGATAGACAATCCGTCCTCGTGATAGTACTATACATACATACAGTTTCATTATAGACATATGAAACTGTATAGACAATAATTTCGAATTTATAATATTAGTATGGACTAGTTTTATTTCAAAGTTTTGCCCGCTTTAATTAATTTAGATACTTTCAAACATCGGCCCATACAATAATATTTACGAAATCTCTCCATTTATAAAAAGAAATAGGTACACAAAAATATTATATTATCACGTATAAACGATATAAAGACATTAAAATCAAATCTGTCTTTCTCTGTTTATCATCAGTAGTCAATAGCGATGATATAGAAAAATAATGAATATGGAGAGAAAAGAGTAGTAGAAATAAGTATATAAACATCATAATTAATGGTAACGCGACTCTTATGATCTCTCAGTCGAACTGAAGTTCCAATAAAATAAGAAAAATCAATAAATCTATCATCCCCTTGCGGTATTTTTAGCTTAGCATTTAGAAGATAGAAACCATAATAAAGGCTCCTTTTTACGTTAAATCAATGGCTTTATTGTGAGATGTTGCATATTCTTTCACTTTCGTTGTTATTCAGGGCAGTATTATTACTAGTACCTTATAGATTTCATAAAAGTACTGTTTGAGGAATATATTGCGTGTGATATAATCGAATAAATGTTTAACTGACCTTGTTTGATCAATTATGTAATTAATTATATCGAAATACTTACTCATACATATTCCGCGTATTTATATTCGTACTCTACTTCTTACCTTATTTCGCTTTAATTAAATATCAATCTACTCTTTCCTTTAAATTACTAGTTGTATCGAAATTAAATTTAAAAAATCTATTATTACTAATATTTATAATTTAGTTATATGTAGCGCCCGTAGGTACTTAAATACCTATTCCAATTTCTATCATAGATATTATTAATGACATTGCACGCATATTTTATTACGTAATGACTAGAATAATTTCGTTGAATATTTGAATCATCAGAAATAGGTAAACAAATAATATAAAATAAAGAAATCGGTAGTTATATGTACCTATAAACATATTAACTTTATCTATCGTTAATACTGAAATATTATATTAATACCTACATGAAAAGTTTATAACATTATGATTTTTACATAAACAGGATAAACAATACTTAATAATAATACCAATATAATACAAGGAATATTAAAACACGGATAAAGTTTATTGTACTTAATAGATAGGTACTACTGCCATTGTAATAAACAGGTAATTAAAATACATTGGATGCGTATAATTTAAAAATAAATTCCTTTATTTATTAATAAACAAGATACTTATTGGAATTTGAAAGAGCCTATGTAGTCAGTAGGTCCACTTCTTTACGGGTTAAGGGTCATAACCTTTAACCGATTACACGGTGATGTAGTTTATTAAATATATCTATGAAATAAACATTGATTATTACGTTTAATAAAAATAATTAAAGGTACTCACGGCGCCTATTCAACTAACAGCCTCTTCAGCATGAATTACTCCAAAATGACGAATTCGTACACCCAGCCACAAATCGTCAATTAAAAAACATTTATGGAATTAAATATAATAAAAACCACACTGACACTAAAAATCTACACGGATTCTTTTTTACAACACTTTTAGCTTGCTAGGAATCGGTCTAAAAATGGTTACTTAATCATCCCACATGAAATTGCGTAGCCGGTCGAAAGTCGGTGGAAATGCGAAATTTTCCTCGCTACTGCCAGCCGGAGGACTGAGGGTTGGAGCTACGGGAAAATGTAAAGCCTCGACCGGGATTCCAATGAAAACAGAGCAGGGGTCGAGCGCATACTGACTCCCTCGCGCAAGTGACTCAGACATGAATCAGAAGAAATCAGAATTACAACGCACAGACCCTCCTTTTCTGTACCGAGTGGTCACGACGTTTTCCGAAGTTGATCGACGACAGGCGATCGTCGGCGAAAGCTCAATGAGAGACGATAATTCATTTTACTATGGAAAAGGACATTTCCCGCTACATACGTACCTATGGTAACTGTCGCTTTAGACATTTGGGATTTATGAAAGCTTTCAAGAATTTGTGTGATTAATTTCATTTTCTCGGTGCCTTAATTATGTTTATATCCAACACAAGTTTATTCATTTGCAAGTCTATAGTAATAAGTGTATTCAGGACTGTAAACATTAATAACAAATGACAGCGTTTTCTTTGTTAGGCAAAATATTATGAAATCTACTAAGTTACAAAATTAACCCTGATATTTCTAGAATTTTAGTCAGGGAAGTAATTAGTAAATGTTTATAAATAAACATTACACTACAACAAAGTAATTACGAGACACTCGTTGTGTAATTTAAATGCACAAGCAACACTCATTCATTATATTATTTACGACTAGCTGTTCCCGCGACTTCGTCCGCGTGGAATTTAACTTTATTTTTCTAAAATAAAAGTAGCCTAAGGTACTCCTTATTACATCAGCTACCTGCCAAAAAAAGTCCCGCTAAAATCGGTCCAGCCATTTCAGACATTAGCCGGAACAGACAAAAATGATAAAAATGTAGTTTTGGTGTATGTACCGTATTTATATTTATATGCATGTAGTAAAAAACGGTTATTTCAATATTACAAACCGACACTCGAATTTTATTTATATGTATCGATATAATAATGTACACTAATATTTTGCGCTCATTATAACATTAAATTTACGTCATAGTTAGCAAATAAAATCGATTGATATTTGGTAGTACCACAGATAATATAATATTACAGTAGTACTTACTTATCAAAAAAATTAATGTTTGCTATTCAATTAGCAATTAGGATGATTACATGGATTTCATTACGTCACAAAATTATCTACTTCATTACCCTCTACTTGAGATTTTGTGTGACAAAGGTTTCATTATCAATTTTGGGATATTGAATAAATCGGTGAAATGAAAATCAAGTCATTTTCACTATGCAAAAACTCTGACATTATCCGCATAGAAATTATGCATTAGTTTTTAATGGTTAGAGTTTATCTTTTTATTATTATTATTACAGTATCTATGATTGATAGTCTCGGCTTAGTGGTTACTCGACTTAGTACGCCGAAAGGTCGTGAGGCCATCTATACCTATAAATGAGCTTATGGCTAGGTACTAAAAATCTGTTAGAAATACTTAAATACGTTTTTTAATAATACACACATAATATACATAGAAAAGATCAAAACTTTTGGGCCAGAATCGAATCCGCGATCATCAAAGCAAGGTTCTGTGTTAACCGTTAGACCAGCGAAACTGTCAAATCGTAATTATTTGTACCAAAAACGTTATCGATGGTGTGATGATAGATGTTATTAAAATAATATACTGAGATAATATCTAATATTTTTATTATAAAAAATTCTTAATAAAGGCTTAATGGACGGATATGTTACAATTAAATTAAGACTATGTAACATGCGGCATTGTTACATTTACATTCTCATTCGAAACATTCAATTGTTTTTTTTAATCTAACATATTTATTTGAAGCGTGTTATTTACGAACAATTTTAGTTTCATGGCTTCTTCTTAATTATTGGTGAAATTGGTGCCATATAAATGGGATTCTTATTAACTTACGTAGAAAAGTAAAAAGAAATATTTTTCTACAGACAAAATTTATGATAATTTATCTTAATATCCAAAAAGGTCCTTAACATCAGAAACATATATTTACTATTATTTCTCAATATACAGTCTTAAGAAACTTAGTTTCGAATTATGATGCAATAATATGTGTAAGCTTTCACGAAGAAAGTAATTCCTGAAATTGAATTGAAGATAGCCTCTACGCGTGGTAATGTAGAAACAGAAAACTTGTTCTTATATTTAAAAAAATGTGTAAATATAATCTTAATATCAAGAGCTATTAAGTGATATTATTTAATACTTTCTAGTAATGAACAACTACAATTGAAATGTAGTACCAACAGCAGTAAATTGCTTAAAAATTCACTCCAATAGAAAAGACTTTGTTTCACATATTTAATAATTCAATTTGCCAATCTGTTGACTGACATTCACACTTAGACATACGTACTAATTTAGGTGCTAAGTGGTCAGGTTCTGTAAGACAATAGTCTATATTATAAATTGTTGTTAATTTTAAAGTTACACATTGGTATAGACAATCAGATGTAAACTTTACTAATTTGAAATTGTTGACTTTTTGTACTTGTGTAACACAACTAGTCAAAATTAAAAAAAAAAGTTTTTGTAGTTTAGCCATAACTACATTTTAAATACAAAAGACTTCTAAAAAACAATTCAATTGTTAATTTATGTACTCTATCTTTTCTAACATAATTATTTATTTCGCTTATATTTCAGGTTATTTCATTTTATTTCATTTTCATTAAACATTTAGTGTCTACACTACAGACAGTCTAATACAAAATAAATTTACATAGGCTTATGTTACACACATTATAATGAGGCAATTGTATTTTTAACACGCTATGGATAATTATTTTAATGGAAATGTATGAGATTCTTAAAAGCAATAGGGCATATTAATACTTACATACAAAGATGTGGACGGTTAATTCTTAACATCATATGAAACATTATTCATATATTTTAATTTAGTAATAAGTATCTTAGTTTATAGTTTTATTTAACATTAATAAATATATCATATTTTCAATTATTTCGGATTATCCATCCATTACATCCATTACATCAATATCAATATATACAATATAACAGTCCATTGGAAAGAAATAGAATTATAAACTGTAGTACATACTAAAATTGCAATATAATTAATATTTCAATAGTAAATAACAGGTTAATCCTTTTATTCATAAATATAATTATTTATATAAAAACGACTGGTATTTCCTATACTGTACAATTATGTCCAAAAGGACTGAAATGGGAGTGAGAATTTGAATTGGAGATAAAAGTCTCTCCAAGTTGAACATGTCAACAGTACAACAACAAATTTGTTGAAGGCTTGGTGAGCTGATTGCAAGATATAGATATGGAAAAAAAGAAGTTGAACATGTTAGAAAGCATAGAGTTCTACAAACATTGCAGACTATTATTAATTACAATTACAAAAATAATGGTTAACAACATAAATACTCCTAAACAGAAACTTCCTTTCCTTGACAGTTAGTGGAAATCCTAATTTATTTTATACTAGAATAATTTTACACTTATTTGAGATTCAAATTCAGTCACTACATCATAAGAACAAAAATATGTTTTTTTTTAACTATAAAATATTCAAGAAAAATCAAAATATGCTTGTGTCAAAGGCACTTATATTGTCATATTCATGTCACTTAATCTTATGAAGAATCTAATACAAAAATAAGTTGATACTAATATTGCTTTTATAATAATTTCTGCAAGTAAAATACAATCATAATAGTACTAAATATGAGAGTTAGTGATTCCTTTAAATATGATGAATTGTTACATTCATCAGAGGAACAGTAGCATTCCTCCCAGTACACTCCGTTAGGATAAACACCCCAGTTGCATACTCCAGTCACACCCGTATCGGCAACAGACGCACATCTTCTAATTACTTGTCGCCACCTACCATCCCCTGAAAATATGATAGAGATAGTATTAATATATATAATTATAATATATAGTAACTTATAAAAATAATAGAAATATGTAAGTATATGAAATATTTATATGAATCATAAAATACTCAACCAATTTTAAAAACGCAATCTTATACATAAATTGCTTGCATAAAAACCAGAGTGGATTAATTTGTTTTTTAATAGTAATTAATGTATAATTTATAATACAGTTTATTTTCTATTTTAATATTTGTAATTGTTATTTATTTTTTATATACTGTTTACTTTGCTATTAGGTTCATCATGGACATTAGGCATTGTTTTAATACATATAAAATCATTGGTCCCTTTATATTATTGTTATTACTTGTTATGTATGTAAATTTGTTGTGTTTGATAATCTAAACTACCTAATGTAATTTACTCAAATATTCAAATAATATAATTAATGGTTATTCCAGCACTTACATATAAAGCCTTTAGGTCCTTGTTGTGTTAATTTCATACAAAATGATCCAGGCATATGAGATTCATCACTGTTACACTCCACTGCTACATGGCTGTCTCTGTCGAATTTCTTGTAAGCGCCGCATGTGTCTTCGCCCTTGTTGTCTTGTGATGATGCGCATTGATAACACCTAACGCTTAACACTGGAAATTAAAATACATTTATATAAAATAAAGGAATTATTTAGTAACCACTGAATGCCGTATAAATTGTGTACACTTACCAGTGGGTAATACATATATCGTTAATAATATACAGACTTTTGCAATCATTTTTACAATTCTATATTAATAGATTTAAAAAATGTTATGAGTTCTGTAGATAACTTTTTAAAATACACTCAAAATATAACGAGCTATCCAGCAAAAACACCGACCCAACCCATCCAAAACATAATTCAACGAACGAAACGACACCACAGATGACACAAGAAAACTGCACAGATGACACAAGAATACTATACGAATGTATGAAACGAATTGTACTAATTTATTTCGTACACTTTTATTATATTCGTTACATAACCATATCGATTCGATTAATTTCGCACCCACACTTCGTTGCCGAACTAAATTCATTGTAATCGATTAGTCCATAGTGTTCGATTACTTACGAGAAAAAACAATAACTATTTAGTAAACTGAAAGTACTACTTTATATTGATATTTTATAACATAAGTAAAAAATCTTGTTTTTTGATAGTGGAACGCCTGTATTGTTACGTTTTTAGTTCCATAGTCTTCGAATGCAATTTATGCTTTTTTTACAATTATACTAATGCCGATTGATTGCCTAATCTGTTTGCAGATGGCATTCCAAACCTGCTGAAGGATTTATAGAGTAGTAGATCAACTCTTGTATGACTGTCTGAGGACAGAGCTAGGGGACAACGCAGATATTGAATCTCGACTCAAAGCCGTCGTAATTTCGAATTCAGACTGAATGCGATGAGAGTTAGATAAAATAACTTATACATTTTTCCATGGTCGTATTCATCATAGTTAGAAGCTGGTACATACGCCTATTATCTGTACCTAATAAAAACATGTATTTTAAACTGTTTTCGGTATCTTTTTAAGCGCGAAATTGCTCGCGGGTAGGTTGACTGATTGTGAGAACCATATCTGTAATAAACTGTAACAACTGTACTTAAAGCATTACATATCGGATAATTAATGTTTTTATTTTTTACTACTGATTGGACCGAATGATTGAATCAATTGCAACTTTAACGTTTAGATTAACAATTGTCATTTGGTTGTTTATTGTTAAATGTCAGATTGTCAGTTAGTATTCAGTATCACTTCAATCAAAATTGTTTTGTGTGTATGTTTACTATAGGTCGTTAGATAACTTTTTACGGTTTTTAATTTATATAGTAAATTTCTTTCTTTGCCATAATGATCAAATGTTTATTAATTTTATTAATCGTTTTAAGTATTGTGACTTCTAGTAAGTACTAAGTTTCTTTATAAAGTTGAAACATTCATGGGCACGCCCTGAATTTGAACTAAACGTTAAATTTTAGCTTTCAGCATAAAATGTTGGGATTGCCGGTCTAATAATGATCCGAAATGTGCGGATCCTTTTGACAACAGTACAGTTCCTATCACCGATTGCAAGCAGGAAAAGGGCCTTATCCATTTGCCGGGGGTAACGCCTCAAATGTGCCGGAAAATTAGACAAAAAGGTATTATAACCTAACTTTTGTATTTTTTATCTATATTATACCAGACATCACTTCTTTGCAACAAATGGCTTGATTGGTAGGTCATGCTACGAGTATTGACGCGCGATGCTGTAAGGTATTTTATTTGGTTAATAGAATTATTTTTTTATGGATGATAATGGGTTGGTGCAGGCGGGATCTGCACTGACGGTTTAAGAAGATGAGTATGAAGTTAGGTCAGTCAGCCTATTATGGCTTTCTCATTACATAGAATCCCCTCGCCTAGCATATATAAACTTTATGGATATAAACAGAAAGAGAACACTTCTATGCAGGGAAAAGAGGAAACCTATATTTTTATGATATGCTCATAACTTTTTGTTTTATTTTAATCTGGTATGATTTCACTAAAAAGGACAATATACAGATTCGGGTGTGGTGTTATAAGGCAATGTGTTCTGTCTATTTGGGTTAATGTAACAAACTTAGTTCCATGTGATTGTCATTGAGTAACAAGCATCAAAATTTTCTTATTTATAATATTAGTATATCATTGGTAGATATATGAAATATATTGTTTTAAATTTGATGAGGTTATCATTCCACCACATTTTAGATCCAATGATTTTTACTAGTTATATGTATATATATGAAGTTCTCACATTTAATTCTTGGTTTGGACAATGTAGGATGTAGACTCTTTTCTCTTAGTATTTGGGGTTTTACAGCAAGCTAAATCTGTCTACAATGTTCTAAAAGATTGAGGCCTGTCTAAAACTGCAATGACTTCTATACTAGAATGTGTGACTATAACAGCACTAGTAGACAGGGAAAGAAACTTGCCAGTGTTGAGAAACATGGGCAAGGCCTCTTAAACCTTCACCCGGCTCAGAATTCCAGGGATCTGATCAAATTTCCCTATTCAATTTCCCTATCTGTCATATAATTGACCCAACACCCATACAGTGAATGCATAGAATATAAGGAGTTAGTCTCTGGCTTCTCATAACACAGAGCATCCAAGCTTGAGGAGAGTCAAGTAGTATGATCATATGTCACTAATTGATATATAATTTTTATTTACAGTAAATGGTGTATGGCGTTACTTCAGAGGATGTGCATATCTAGGTGAAGTGGGTTTACAAGGAGATGAGAGATTTTGCCTTATGCGAACTGGTACATATAACATATTTATAGAGTACTGCACATGCAACAGTAAGGATGGATGCAATTCTTCATCATTATTCAGCCCTATTCCTCTATTATTACTAGTGACTGCTACATTTACAGTAATATTTAAGTTCTTTAGTTTCTAAGCATAAACCTGATGGAATCAATTGAATGATATTATATTATGTCGAGTACAAACAAAAATTGAAACTTAGAATCATGTTTCCAAAAAATAAAACCCAGTTAATAAGACAGTTTCACTTGTAAGAAAATGATCTAGTTTTTTAAGTAACCAAGTGTGTCATTTAAAAAAGATTTGAATCTCAAATATATAATACTATATTTTCACCTTTGATATGTATGCAGGAATAACAGCATTAGTTTATGGAAACTACAATGAATAGCTATGAATATCTATTATTGTTATACTCAAATTGATATTTTCTAAAATAATACTCAATCTGAGCAAAGATCTGAGTGAGAATTATCTTTCTTTGAAGTAAATGAAAAAAAAATAGACCTTTTTGAGTGGAGTTCATTTGATGTAAATACCATATGACTGTATATCGACAGATTATGATTGTAGAGGGTGTATGTTGGTCTTTGCATTTATAAAACTTCAGTACTGATATCTAAGATAATAAAAGGGTTAAGAATCATGTGTGAAATGTGAATATCATGTAAAAATTCAGAGACAATTTTTTTTAATGTATACAGATTTATAGTTTCTTACAATTGTTAAATTACAAGGAATTTATATTTAGAACGGAGATTTATCCTATTCACTGATGTAGTGACGCATTCAGAAATAGTGGGTAACGCAGGCGAAACTGCAAACACAGTTAAACAAAAATATTACGTCATTTACCATTAAATATATATATATATCTACTATTTTATAAGTAGGTATATCGTTATATACTTGTGAAACTGTATCAAAAAGGAAAAAGTGGAAATAATAAAAATAATTTTGAAACTTCGTATTAAATTGATCAAGTTATCACGAAATTTCTATGAAGGTTTAAAAATTGTTTTTTATACCTTAAAAATTATTCTATAATATTTCTTGTCCTGGTATAGCCTTTACAATTAATATCCTATGTATAATTATAATAATTCTTTTTAATAATATATTACTTATTAAAGGTCATAGTGTAACATAATTGAACTATGTTCTAGCATTACAAAAATTAAATGAACCGATTTCAATTAGTTTTTGTAAAAATTGTTATTTACTTGTTTTGACTATAAACAAATCTGTGTATATACGCTAATTACCTCACTGGGTAGGCAAAGAGATTGTTATTTGTCGGAAGTTATTAATAAACAAGCTATAATCCACAGGTTTGACCACTTTATTAGTTCAGTTGTGGCATTTCAGACATGATTGAGTTAGAAATATTTAAACATAATTTACAAAGACATCACCATTTTACGTGTACAGTCTGAGTCTTTTTATGACAGAATTATAAATACTATGTATATAAATGTAATATTCATAAAAGAAGAGATTATGGTTTCGTCTGTATTCTTGCAATTCATTATCTGAAATGTTATTGTGACGTATTGAATATAACTATGGCTAGTAACAAGGATTACCTCCCGTAAAGATTTCTTATTCGCTAACTTGGTAAGTTCGTGATTTAAGTAGCTTTTGTTTTGTGGAGATAATTCTTGATATAGCGTACGTAGCTACTTATAAGACTGAATATGTATCCGTCCACGTGAAATTAACTTTACAATATTGTTATGTATAAAGTGTATTGAGTATTGCATTGTATGTGTACCCGTCCACTAAAAATAAATACTTTTTTTAACATTTATTACACTTTTTGTTATAAATGCTAGCCCAAATCCTACAGCAAATGAGTATCTAAACATAGTTTAGTTTATAGTTTTTCTCAGTGTACGACATTATATATTCGATCTCATTATTATGTGCGCTTCGTATGTAACCTATACATGCCTCATTGTCCTGAATATCCTAGGTTCCTGTATATTTCAATATCCACCTACACGAGAAAATTACGTCATACGATTCGGCGCAGCGGTTCTATTTTGATGACGTCATCCGCAATTACATATAGATTCTAAGCAATCACGATGCTTTTAGCATGGGCGACTGTGAGTTTATGCCTGCAAGCTGACGTTGAAAAATACTGTCTGTGTACTGTCTATTCCGATATATCAAATAGTTACGTGATATTTACATTATTACTGAGGGGTGTGGATTGTAAACAATTGGGAAGAAAGAAGCTCTATGAATAGTAACGTACGATATTAGATCGACATCCATGCGGTCCCTTCTGGAAACCATGGTTTATTCCTGATGAAATCAACTTAATGGGCTAACTGACCTAACTTTGTGTTTATCCTGTCATCCTTTACCTATACCGTCAAAGTGTTCGTTAATTCAGTATCTCAAAAAGGCCTTGTACAAACATTTATTTTACAGTAAGAACTAGTAAAATGTGAGCATCATTCAAACCAGGCTGTAGTAGTAGCTTATCGATATCCACCGTTCTAGAGATAGCTCTTGTTTAGCCTGTCACGACTGTTATTCCAGATTCAGTAAGAAGTATTCTTAACTTTCATTGGGTTGCAGATCGCAACACTCGATATTTTATCGGTGTTTTAATTATCGAAGAGTCAGAAATGTAAAAACGAAAATGAATAAAGAATAGAGAAATGTAAAACAAAACTTTGTTTGAATATCGATCAGAAAGCAACGATCGTTGATGCTAAAAGCATTGTGTCTGTTTATTGAATTGTTTATATATCTCCCTACCTCTATAATAGTACTATAGCACGCGTGTTCACCCCCTAATGACCTTCGCGACCGAGGGAGGTTTTGTTTACGATTAAAGGCAGCGATCACAATTTTCTTTGTGTTTGCTGCGTACTTGCATAGCTGTATATTTTCTTATTGCTGTTGGTGAAATGATATTCTCCAATAAAGAAGTGGTAAAAGTGGAAAATAAACTTTAATGGGAGTTCACTCCCTCTTCACATTTGGACTGGAATGACTAAAATAGCCAGATAAGCAATTCCAAAAGTGGAAACTAGAGAATGATGTTAATTAGTGTACCTCTATCGCGGCTAATTCACTAGGAATTAACAGCATTGGTTTCTAGTGGTACCGTGTGGAGTCTTTACCAAGGTATGGTAGGATAAGAGGATTGTTAATTGTGCTATTACTAACTATGCTCTCCATTATGTTGTAGGTATTTACTGAACAATTGACACTTCAGGGGTAATAATAACTTATCCTAAAGCTTTTTTAAAGAAAGGGAAACATTTTTAAAATATATAGGTACATATGTATGCAGTTACTTCTCATGCCTAGAAGATTAATATACGTATGTACGTATATTAATATTATATTATGTTAGAGATTTTAAGTAGGCATGAGAAGTAACTGGCCAACGAATATGAACACTTTGTAATTACTTTCGATTGGTAGGTGCCATCGATTACCTCTATGCTGGACGTCAGGATTTTTTGCATATGTGGAATTAGCGTAAGTCCCATGTCTCGAGACTGGTGAGTTTTTAGTGGTGTAAAATTATAATTGCACCTAAGTATTAACTTTAATTAATGCGAAACAGTGTTGGAAATTAAAAACAATGTTGGGAAACAACTTTATTTAAATATATAGCAGTGACCTAATAATTATTTTCTTCGTGACCATCATGAGATTCAAATGTCATGAATTTAAATGCTATAAATAAATACAATATTATCTCAAATATATTTTAAACTGTCTGAAGTAAAGGCACATGCAGAATGGTCCGTTTAAGTGTTAATAATATCATTGTCAAAGACGCCCTTATTTTAATACTAAAAATACAAGTAATTCGAGTTTGTTAATCCATTAAAAATAAAAAAAATATTTACAGTTAAAAATACATAAACTCAACTATGAAACTAGTGTAGACAGTATCTGCTTAAAAACCAAGTGATAGACATCTAAAATAATGTTAAGTAGCAACTAAAAAAATACACTACAAATATAATTTTTATTTCAATACGAAATATTTTTAACGATGTAAAATTATGCACCTATTTTATAATTTCTGTCGGTAACTTTTCTTCAGTATATTTTAATACACAGATATACAAGTTGTCTGTAGCTTCGGTAACAGCCGGTGGGTACAGATATATTGCAAGTGGTCCCATGCTACATTAAATAAAATAAGCTAAAGAGTCCACTCACATAAAACATTTATAGTTTATCAGCTGTTTGCATCTATTTTTGCAAGAACTTTAATCATTACCCTCTAATTGCATTTCTTACTGAAACATAAAAAAATTAAGATTCTTTTAATGATAGCGTATGTGGTATGCATATTTCCCTACACTGGAGGCTTCAAGGTTGACTGTAGATCCTGCTAATTTAGAACATGAATTTTTTAAATCAGCTCTAAGCTTTCTTGTGTGTGACACAGATTATGTTAAATCTGTTTTCGGAATATATGGTAAAATTAACTTAGAGATTCAGGTTATTATTAGATATGAAGACGTTTATGTTTATAATAGTGACTGGACCTTTTGTATTTCTATTTAATGCATAATAGGTAATAACAAAGAAATTTGTACTATATTAATGGAAGTTTAATGTTAAATTAAGTTATTTGAAGAGAAGTAGGCCGAGTGGTGCCAGAAGTAAGGCCAGAGTCTTGCCAACAGTAGCAGCACCATTGCAGCCGTCGTAGTCGCAAGTCTCGCAGAAGGATGGGATCTCGTTCGTTCCGCTCGAGTAGTTAGGGCATTGGCTTCCGTAGTCGTCAGTTCGCTTCCAAGTGCAGCCTCGGGTTACTACCAATAGTCCGTTGACTGTGAAAAGTAAGCAAAAACGGTTTTAAAAATTTACATTACTCTTATTTATGAATACTTTTTTTAGTATTAACTATTTTGGGTATCGTCTACTAATTTGTTTTGTATAGATAGTAGTTTTTTATTACATAAAGTAAATTTTATATAATACAAAACTCGTATTTGTACGTGAGTAACTTAATGTAACTTGTCTTTAATGATTTTTGTATTGGTCCCATAAAAACAAGGATTAAGTGGGTTTATTTTTTTAACTCAATTTTATTTTAACCAATGTTACAAGACACATACACAAAACAGGAATAATAAATTTTGTAAATAAAAAAAAATATATAAAGAGACTCTTTATATATTTTTTTTTATTTACAAAATAGTCTATAAATCCAGCTCCCTACAATTATCTAATTGTAGGTACAAATTATTAGTTCCTATATAGTATAATGCTCCTGCTATTTATTAGGTAGGCTAATGGGCTTATTATTTTTATATAAAGATTTGATTATGTAAATACATAGTCAAACATGCTATCATAATATAGCGTACGTGATAAATGCATATGTGTCTTCTCTACTCAGATACATTTGTAGGTATAGTTATATTGACATATCTAAATGTATTTTAAATGACTAGTGTGAACAGGTTATAGAAACACGGCAGTATAGTCATTTTTTAAGTTCCCATCTGTAATATGTTTATCCCTCCAGAAGGGAACTTAATATTATTTAACCGCGTTACATATTGCGTTGTTGTCAATTAATAACTGTTGATTAACAAGAACAATAGAAGTTTAAGGACATACAACCTTCATACGTGATGTAGGTAATTGGAGTTCGGAGTGACATTGAAGTAAATATAGTTACGTCACTACTTAGTACCAAGATGGCATTGGAAATATATGTATATACTTAGACCAAGATGAACAACAAAAGAATACAATAGTAATACTGTATTATGTATTTTAATATGCTGCCACAACTTCTAGTTTATGAACTTCTAAGTTATGATCCGAATTTATAAATAAATTGGGAACCAACAATGAATATTAGTTATAGAAACTACGAAAAATGGTTGCTCATGTAGCTACAATACTTAAAATAATCTAATAGTACAATAGGTTTGACTTACTGTATTTCTTCTGCTTCTTACAAGCAGACTTAGAAGACGACAGGTAAGGGAAAGTGACTCCTGTTCTACCGTCGCAGTTTTCCAACTGGAATTGTCCAGAGTATTCACCTCGGCCAGCGAGGAATGGATCATTGCAGAACGGGTTTATGTCCGATGAGCATGTCCAACAGCTCACTGAGTCACCTGGAAATACAAAGATTAAATATTTTGTGTATTTCTTCCACAGAACCATAATATAATAATAATATCTCACGGCAATTCAAACAGCGCCATTTAGTCCCATGCTAAGCTAGCTAGAGTTTAACTTCTACAAATGCACAGATGTTTTTTCTTAAATACATACATATTATACATAGAAAACACCCTGGCTCATAGAAACAATCATACTCGTGAATAGAAATGTTTGTATCGAGGAACTGACCCCGCGACCATTGGAAATAAGGCGGTGTGCTAAACTGCTAACCACCAATGCCGTCGATACGAATAAGATTTTTTTTAAGATTTTTTTTAACTTAGCTTATAATTACAACATGAGAATAAAACCTCTGTAGGCGCGTACTTTGTGTTAAGAGAAAGCTTAGTGGCTACGGCTTAGGGAACTATAAGGTCAAAGGTCTGAGAAAGTAGCTCCTCTTCATATTCTGTGTTATTAGTTATCTGAATAATTATTTATTAACTTAATATAAATAATTATTATATTTATAAACCTAATATATTTATTAACCTAATTTTAAATTATGTGGATGACATAATTTAAAATTAGGTTAGTGACAGTGTTTTGGTTTAGTTCTATTTATATTCGAATGGATAGTATATTATCTAGTTTGTTTTTCATAAACTAACCTAGAAATGTTTTTTGTATACTACCGTGCTAGCCTTCAGAAATAAGTAAATAGTGATAAAAACTTAATAGTTGTCTCACAAGGCCCTTTCAGTCAGTGAATCGGTAGTCGCATTTGACACGCTATGCCGCTCTCTGACAATGGTCGAAGGTACTTACTCTAAGCACAGAATACATAATGGTAGGTAGCGACTGATACTGTAGGTACTCGTAATAACACAAGTACCTAATAGTAGATAATAATCACGCGCAATGCGCAAAAAGAGGATCTACGTGTATGCAGATCATTAATATTTGTAATTGATGGGAATTGTATGAATCTATTCAGGTGAATAAAGCCATATGGTAGTTTTGGCTAATTTAAGGAACAAAACTGGTGTTACAATATTTATCTGTTATTTCACATTAATATTACCGACCTCTCCTAATATTTACTTTCCCAGACATGTTTCGTAACAATGATATGTGAATTTTAATATGCAGTTGTTTGATGTTAGATGGCTAGGTTAAAACGATAAAGATATTATAGCACAACAACCGTTTTCATTGCATGATCATAAATCAATAAAGATAAGAAATGCTCTCCAGTGTAGTAGAGTTTAAGTCAAAATTATTTTAGAAGTGGGATATTAACAATTTTAATATTTAAATTGCGCTGAAATGTTCATTGGACACAACATTTGCTAGATTTATGTAGGAAGTCAACAAAGGTGTGCACACACACGTGAATTCATAATTACAGTAAATGAGTCAGTACATAGTCGAGTAAGTAGATTACACTAAATGAATAACGTCATTCACCACTTGCTATTGTTTTTCTGCGTGCGTGGGAAACGTCTCGATGTTTTTATGAGGAAGACAATTCTTTTGTTTACTTGGCTTGAAGATGAATGTGGAACTAGTTGCATACAATAATCTAGATTGAAAAACTTGAGAACGGTTCAAGTCCATTGAAAGACACATTGATGTACGAAATCAATTATAGCTACATATAACTATTAGACCATTAATGAGACTTGCAATTTTAGGAATATTATAGATTGAATTCTTTTTTAAAATACATCTTCTGCGGCTGCGCTTCAAGTCTCTGGTCCAAAATTGTGGAGAGAAGCATCTGGGAACAGAAAACTAGACAAAGATTGATCGTCCACCGAATGCGTAACTCAAATCTTTTTCAGTGACGATATTCTGGGACTTGCATATAATGAGCAAATTAGACAAATATTTTATGAATGACAATTAAATATATCGGTACAGAACATTATAATATGCTTTAAACAGTTTACTATGTATGACAACAATTCAAGATTATCCATAGTTCTAGCGGAATATACCATATCTACATGTAATATAAGTCAATGAGCTTGGACAAGCCTCTTTGTGTATACACAGAGATAACACATACTCATGACTGTACTTATTAGACATATTGTCTAAAAAATAGAGAGACCTTGTGATAAATAGTTTGACTCTACCTTAGTTTAGTGTCGGATTTACTTATGTATTAAAACAGTAAAATGCAGACACACATATCACCACGCCTATTATTTAAGTGGTGTACAATGGAAAACAATCTTACAGCCCTCCTAATGATAGGTGGCGAATGCAGATGATACTCCAAACCCGGAATAACTTATGAGGCTCCTGAAGGCCAACTTGACGAATACGTATTTAGTCTGGGGATACCACTATGGGCTCTGAGCGTCGTTTCGATCCCCGTTTGAATCGGACGGGGATCCATCGGAGGGGACGTGTGGTGGTAACCGTCGCCTATGTAGGTGAACAGTGTTTAGAACATCACGTTATCATGTGGCAGCCATGATACTAGTCATTACATGAATAGCATGTTGTTACCAGTTATAGTGTTATTTTTAGTCTAAACAACAGATCTAAGTGTTACTTGTTGAGTAGTATAATTTTCCAGTTTGAGTCGTATATGGAGTTACTCAAGCACGAATAGTGCATTGACCGACTTACTGAGGTACATACCCAGTAAGAACTTCATAGAGTTACGATAAACGTTAACCGCTATGTTACTTGTAGAGCCGCGTAATAGTACCTATAGAATTTTCCATAAGAATCATGAATTTTACTATAAGTATATGTAAAATTTGTTGTTGTTACTTTCATGTTACGGTTGACAGCTAATGTTTTATAACATATATACAACTGTACTAAAATGAGATTTTAGAGGGTAAAGTCAATTTAATAGTCACAAATATGTATTATACCATGACCAGATGTTATGCTGAATAAAGTATGCCTATTTAAATGAGGTATGTACTTCATTACAGATACGGATTTGTATGTCTATCATCGACATTGTGCTATAACGTGCGGAGTGTGTATATTTACTACATTTTATAGATAAACATTATCGCGAAAGCGGCTACTGAAATATTTGTAATTTGATAACATTTGCCTTTCAAGTTTAGATTGTAAAGATACCTATTTGTTTTATAAAAATGCAAATTCCACAAATGTATACGAAACATTCTAAAATTTCTTTACACACAGTGTTATCTTAAAGATTCTGTACTAAATTAACAACGTGATATAAACGGAGATTTTCATTTAGGCAAATTATTAAAGAAACCATATTAAACGTAATGGCAAAAGAGACCTACAGGCTCATGTAGTTGTTCTTTTGTAAAAATGTATTTCACAATAGGAGCAGTCACAATCAGCAATACCTGCTTATTTTAAAGAAAATTAAACGGTATGTACATTTTTATCTATATCTAAATAATACTAATTTAAAGAAGGATTAGGGCGTTTTAGACATCTGTAAACAATTATAAATACTTGTTTTAATATCTGTTAATTTATTTGATAATCACTTAAATCAAATAAATAAGTAGCTACTCGTACGTGATTAGAAACATGGCATACTACAATATTTCATTCAATGAAAGACATATTGGAGATATAACTATGCTATATAATGTATCCCTGCTTAGTTATGGTGTTTTATTATTTGCAATTAGGGCACCAGGTCGTGACACTGGCACGAAGATACCTAATTTGTTGGTTTAATATGAGTACAGAAGGTCACTTTTACTGACACGCTCTCACACATTGATGGCTTTCGTTTATTGGGAAATTTGGCGTTAATGGATCTTTCTCAGCCTTTGTAATGTTCCCCCTATATTTGGTATTCACTATGTACGTTGTAAATAATGTTATAAATGTATCTTTATGTTAAGCTGGCTTCCAAACTTCCACAGAAAAATCTTAGTAGCCTATCAATATATCATAATAAGAATTAATATTTGAATTGTTAAGTTTTTTTATGTTGATGTGACAATGATATAATCAGATTACTAACTGGTAAATTAATTTCGGACAAGACAATACAAGGACATTTAGGATATTGTTTTGATAAAAAATTTGGATACTAAAATGAGTAGTACATTTGATTTAGAAAATATGTATTTTATATAGGAATTGTGAATATTCTTTTATGATATTGGCGGAAAAGCAAGTAAATTTTCATGACATGAAAAAAACTCGAAACATTCCTCGTAATGTAATGAGACAGTTTGGCATCTAAAAGTACATATTTTATTATTCGACAGCATGTAGAGGGATGACATTATGCAATATTTTGACGGTTGAAAGCGTGGGTAGAGGTAGCCAGGTAGGTATGTAATTATCGTAATGTCATATTTAAAGAAATTTTATTATAAACGTTTATCGTAAGATTTTTTAGTTTACAACATAATTTCAATAATAAATTGTTCGGTTGATTTCATTGTGTGAGTTTGGAATAGATAATCAATATAGATAGTACAATAATCCATCTATTTTTTCTAAATTCATTAGAACGGAAAATTAAAAGAGCTATCATTAGGAATTTATAAAAAGTGTTCTTATGCTTTTTGCTACTACTGACATTGGAAATAATTTGGTTAGATGAGGATCTTTTATTGTTGATGTATTAAGTATCGTCGTAGCATATTTGCACAACCTTAACTTATTATGGACGGTTTTCATTTTATTATTGTCGAAAAAAAACTGTTTTTACTATTACTATAAATAACTTCTATTTGCTATAAGTAATAGCAAAGTTGCTTTCATATTTTTTTTAAATTTATGAATCCGTAGTGTACATTATAAATGACATCATTAAACAGGAAAGTCTAAAACATTTTCTGGTATATTGTCTTGTCATGAATAATAACATCGACCTATAATACATCAATACAATATTTAAATTCGGGCCATACCTTACCACAGTCTTTACTTCAGTATGTAGGTACTATACGTACTATGAATGACGTAACACGCCTGTTAAATATTCGGAACATTACACCTTTTGTACGCACTATAAGAATGAATA